TCCGTCCGGTATCGGACCCCTGGGCGCCGGTTGCTAGGGCCCAGCGGCTGCTGGTGGTCAGCCAACACAGCCAGGCCAGCACTCAGGCGGGCCTGCACTGCCGGCCGGTGCTTGGCACCGCTGCCCGCCCCAGCCCAGTCGCTCGGAGCCCGACTTTGGCCCAGGTCACACCGTGTGGCCTAGCCCGGCCGTACCGTCACCGTAATACGGCGTGACGGCACCATCCCGTACCATAAGCGCCTTGAACTCGAGGGCTTACGGTACGGCATGGGGCCGTCCCGGCGCTGTCAGAGGCCGTACCGTACATGGCTCTACAGCCCTACAAACTCCCCCGACATCCATCCTCAGGGTCGACATGCTGACACTAACGGACAAACAACTAGCATCCACCAAGGATGACTGCAGCAACCTGACTGAGTGATACACAGCCACGCACTCGCGATCACGCTCTGCGGTTCGTGTGCTCAACGTCCAACGTGGGAACATTGCGTAACTAGTCCCAGGGTTAACACTCCAGGCCCTTGCCAATATGGCAGGGCTGACCAGCCCCCTAGAAAAGGTGGGTGTTCCATGCTCGCCGTAAGTCACACAAGGTGGTAGAGGTTGCGTAGAGGTGTTGAATGGATCGCCAAGACATCTTGGTACTGTGGGGGGCGATGATCAAACATGATTGATGCATGTAGATCGCAGGCGAAGCTTGCGTTTAGTCGATGGAAGGCTACCATATAGGCATCGGGCCATGGCAATAGCTCACTCGGTGCCACCGGTAAGGCGCCGAAGGTGTCCCACACCCGCCCACGCCACACCCACACCATCACAGGCATGCACGCCTGTTGGCGCAGGCCCACGCCATTTGGCCACGCCCATGTGCGAAGTCTCTTCTGAATGCGAACTAAACCAGGTTGAACCTGAATGCCAAGTTTGATTCAAAGTTCAAGCTGGGGCCAAACCTGAACCGAAGTTCAGGTTTGGTGTTTGCGAACAAAGGACTTGAACTTGAACTGAACTGAACTGAACTTTGCTATCTCCATTAGGTGACTTTTCTTTCGGAAGTACAGTCTTCAGTCAATACATTCAACAACTGGACTAAATTTTGAGCTGAGTAAGAGTGAGTTGAATACTAGATTATAGTATATTCAGAGACCCTTCCAGCCATACCAGAACCATTCTGGAAGCTCAAAAAATGACTGAGATAAACTCTTCTGACAAGCCCAAGTGAGATTTTTGGCCAGGTAAAAGTGAGCTGAATGCTAGATTCAGAGGCCTTTAGGATACAGCCCTAATACTGTTTTGAAGTTATAGAGTAATAGCCTATAAGTTGCACTAACAAAAGTCAATAGATTTGTAGTCAATAAAAGTGAGTTCAATGCCAAGTTAAAACCTCTCTAATGATATATAATTGATATCAAAATAATAAAGCGGAAATCTTAACAGAGTTCATAGATTGAATACTTATTTAGCAGTTAGTAGCTGCCATAAGTGGTATTGACAAAAGTCAATAGATTTGTGGTCAGTGAAAGTGAGTTGAAACCTTGACAGAGTTGATTATCATTAGAAATTGAATACTCACTCAGCAGTGAAGGAGTATTTTGTAGTCAAAGTTTGGTATACAATCAAAGACCAGTTTGTAGGCCTATTGGACATTTGTGCATATATATGACAGATTCCAAATGGTCATTAGAGGTACAAGCCCAATACTGTTTTGAACCTAGTCATTGACTGTTATAAAAGTCAGTTAGTCTTGCCTTTCAATACCTTTCTGACCATATAGGAACCTCAGTAATGAGCCTAATACTGCTTTGAAGTCATTTGATTGAAATTCTGTGAATGTATAGTTGAAAGCAAGTTTTAAACTCTTGTGAAGAAGACCTTTATGGTCAAACTAGAAATAAGCTCAACTGCCACAGTATTCTGTAGTAAAAGTTGATAGATGTGTAGTCATGTTGTGTAATCAAGTTTGTAGAACTTTCTCATACCTCTCTGACCATATCAGAATCACTATCAACAAGTCAAAGCTCATTGAAATATAAGCCTTACTGTTTTGAACCTCGCCCCAAAAGACACCTATGATCTTCTACATTTTGTAATCTACCACTTTCATTATAGAATTCTGTCAACTTCCGGGGTAAGTTCAACTGAGAGTTAGCCAAGTTACACTGTTAGGCTAGTTTCAGAGATTGTCAGGTACCAACACATCTCAAAGTAGAGATTTTCAGTACCTTTTCAATGATCTATAAATTATCCCAAATGAATCAGAATTGACTGAGTTATGTTAGTAACAGGAAAAAATTCAAATCTGGACTGGCAGTTGCCTTATTGGCTCTTATGCTTCAGTCCCATGTGATAGAGAATTTGAATAGCTTTCTAATGGTATATAAATCATTCCAAACGGATAAGAATTGGCTAAGTTATAACCCTAACACTGTTTGAAAGTGGAATTCCATGGATTTCCATCTTAAGTGAAGTTCAACTTAAGGGTTGAACTGGCCCTAAAGTCGGATTTCCGCGGACTTCCACTCAAAAGACACTCGTAATTTTTCACTTTTCTGTGTTTTCTAGCTTAACCATTAACAATTGGGCTTAGCTCCAAACTGAACCAAGTCATAAAATTTGAATATCTACAACTTTCATTAATTGACCCCCGACCCTAAAGTGGAAATCCGCGGATTTCCACCTGGCAGTTAGGTTAAAGTCAAGTTTAACTTAGGGATTGAACTACAGTGGAATTCCGCGGACCTCCACCTTAAAAGACACTCGTGATTTTTTACATTTCTGTGTTTTCTGGCCTAACCATTGACTATTAGGCTTAGGTCAAAACTGAACCTAGTCATTAATTTTGAATATCTACAACTTTCATCAATTGAGCCGGCCCTAAAGTGGAGTCCGCGGATTTCCACCTTAAAAGACACTCGTAATTTTTCACCTTTCTGCATTTTGTGAACCAACTAGTAACAATTAAGCTTAGGTCAAAACTGAACCTAGTGTTTAATTTGTAACATCTATCACCTCACAAAGCGGGCAGTTATTCTGAAGGCTGGCAGTTAATTACTTCCAAGTATGAACAATCAGGCTTAGGGCCCAGTGGTCAATCTGAACTTGGCAAAGTTGCCGGCCCTAAAGTCCTGGCAGTTAAGTTCAACTAATTATTGAGTCTTTAGGGCCAGTCTTATATATTTTCTATACTAAGTCATTTATAAGGCTGGCCCTCAAGACTTTAGGGCCAGTCTTTATATTTTTTTATATATAAGTTATTTATAGGGCTGGCCCTAAAGTGTGGGAAAAAAAGAAAAAAAATACCCATAGTACAGAAAGAGAAGCCAACATGAGTTGTGAATGCAGGAAGAGTACAATCCCCCAGATGATCCACTTTGTAAGAAGACTTTTGTTATTCTGAACTGTTTTTAGCAGTTTTACTGAGTTGCCAATCAGGTGTAGTGGCTGAATGGGAGGTCACTACTCTCCCATCAGCTTAGTGGCAGTCTTAAGGAAGACTGCCAGACCAAAGATAAAATGCCACAACAAGACAGCTACTAGCAAACCACTGACGAACACACCATGACCAAGAGATTGAGCTCAGCTCGGAAGGTGTTGAACCAACCTCGCTACCCCTTGGCTTACCACAGCACATCCTATCTCCGCCAATTTAATGAAGCACAGACCAGACTGATCCACTTTCACTGTCTTCCCCCAGAACCCACAACAGGAAGAGCAGGGTCATTGAAGCCAGGCTGCTCTTCCATATATAAGGCAGGCCCACCCCTCAGCCCACCCCAAGTCCAAATTGCGCAAAAGCGTGAAAACCCATGTCCACAATTTCGCGACTTGGACTCCAGGAAACTCCGCAGTCATGTGGTTGAGGTCACATTTTATTGAAGTAACAATCACAACATCAATCACCACATCAACAACAACTCTTACGACGCTTACGAGGACCTTCCAGTCGGCCCGCTAGTTGCCGATGCCGATTGATCAAGACGTAAAGCTGTCAGCACGCCATGACATTGCGCTGATCTCTGGACGCATCAACTCTGCGGCCCAGTTCCTGCGGCGCACGGAGCCTCTCGTCCGCTCTGCCGCTGAAACCAAACCCAATGCTGGACGCAATGCTGGAATGCGGCCTCATTACTTTGCTGAGCAACACTGTCATGTATACCTACTCCACCGTCGAGCTCAGGCTGCCGCCAAATCAGGAGCAACCATGCAGCGCTGCACAGCTGTTTGGCTCTGATGTAGCGGCACAGGAGGTTCTGCGCCGTGTGGCGTACAGCGCGGGGTGATCTCTCTGGACGTGGCAGAGTTCTGGTCCGGCCTCGCGCCGTCATATGCGCTGATGCTCCGGCGCGAATGCACACGCGGCGCACGGTTTCCATTAAGGTGGTGTCTCGTTTTCTTAACATCTTGTAGCTCAAAAATATATAATATCAGTTCTGGAGGACTGGAATGCTCTAGTAGCATACCGTCAAGTCTACATAACCTATAGGATTCAGTGGTCCACCAACTATGTTCTATGGTAGAAAACCCACATTCCCTCATAATACATAAGATTTTGTCGGGTTATAAGTTGCCCCAGATGTGAACGGAATGCGCGCAGGCTCCCACCTGGGTTCTGTACATCGCAGTCAAACTTATCGATTAGTACAGACAGTAAAGGTTTCTGCTTTCATCGAGTTCCGTCTCTGTCCCTCTAATTCGCAATCCTCGTCCTCTGCAACCGGTCCGACAGCTCGTCCATCGCACGCTTCACCGCACCGAAGCGCGCGACACCACACTGCTCGCTGTCGACATGCGCCCACAGCGCGCTGAGCGTCTGGAAGCGGCGGCTGCACCCCGGCCCGCGGCAGATGTACGTCTGCTCCTCGTGGCGCGGGCTCGCGAGGTGCTGATTAAGCCCGGGCAGCGTCGGGAACTTGCCGTGGCAGAGGTAGCACTCGTGACGCGGTGCCGTTCCAGCTGCGCCCGGTCGCGACGTAGCGCGTGTTGTCGCTCTCCGCCCGCGGCGATCAGGCGCGGGGGTCGGTGATCACGTTGCGCGTGTCCCTGCGCGCGGATGTAGCGGTTGAGCGACTGCCGGTTCGCGCCCGACGCGCAGCTGCCCGCCTCGAGATGCGCGGCGGCGGCGACGGGCCGTTGATGAAGGACTGCCCGCAGCCGCGGCCGGGCACGTGATCGTGCGTGGCTTGTGCAGCGCCGAGTTCATATGCGCGTTGAGGTTGTTTGCGGAGGTGAACAGCCGGCGGCAGGGGGTGCAGTAGTGGTGCACGCCGACTGGCGGCAGTGCTCGTGCAGCCCCTGCTCGTTCTTGAACACCCGCTCACACGAAGAGCAGTAGAAATGTGCGTCGTCCATGTGTTCCGCCAGCTCGCCGCCATCGTCGAAATGCTCGTCGCAGTGCTGGCAGTAGAAGTGTCTGCGGCTCTGGACGTAGTGCTCCTTCAGCCCCGTCCACGTCGTGTAGTCGATCTCGCAGTCGTCGCAGAGCCAGTGTGCGCTCGACGCCCGCTCGTGCTGCGCGAGGGCACCGTAGTGAGGGAAGTAGCGGTCGCAGCGGTCGCAATACACCGTCATAACGCTAATGTTCTTTGTAAGTACGGTCACGTACGGGGCCCGCACGCAGAGAAGCGCACCCTTGTCCCAGAAATTAAACTCGGATCTTCGGTGGTGGTGGTACGACGACATGAGTGTCACGCGCACGTGAGGAACGTCACGGTGTTTTGAATCGAGGCTGATGTCGTTACCTGCGTAACCGATATGCTTTAGAGCGGAAATGCGCTGCGAAAGGGGCCACGCGCCTTTGTTCCAAGCACTTATGCTACTGCCGAATGTTCTAGCAACAAGTTCTATAGCCAATGACCAATGTCCGGGGCAAACCTCGCTTGCTCAGCGTCGGCCTGTTCGAAACCGATGCATGGCCCCGCGCATTCAACGTGTCCTGGGCATCTCCCTAGATATATACATACTTATAGGTGAGCATGATCGAGTCCCGTGGAACAGGGTAAAGAGCATATAAAGAGGCATCGAGCGCGAATCCGGAGGGACAAACAGACCCGCAGGGGCTGGTCCCAAGCGGCACCCGCGTTTTTGGGAAGTGACAGACTTTACAGTGCTGTACAAGGTTGCGAATACCACCGGACCCGGAATACGGGTCAGCCATACTAGTAGATTTTTCATACTTGGCGTCGTTCCTCCAGAATCAGCGTCGGCACTTGCGCGAATCGTCATTCGCAGCCCCGGAAACATCGCAGACGAACTCCCCGCCTTCCAACAAGCCACCATTGCACGTCAACCCCTGCCCAAAGCGCACTTCCACCGTCGCCATGTCCCCGACGACGAAGTCGAGTCGGCGATGAAATGGCGTCCCCGCTGTTGTTGTGTGCAACGTTGATTCTGACCCATATCAAACCCATCCCCGTCCGTGTACAAACGTTTGTACACGGAAATGGTTGCAGCCCTACCGTGCACGCAAAGTGTGTATCCGTCGTAATCCAGGAAGAAAAGTTGTGGTATTGCAGGATGGCGTGTCGGGAGGGGAGATGGTCATTGAATGATGCGGTTGGTACTGTCGATAGATCTTAAGGATTGTAGGATAGGCGTCCCGGAGCAATGAATACGACATCAGCAGAAGCAGTGCGCAAAGAACAAGGGCAGTCGAGACGGGAATGATGGTTCTGGAGATGGCATTGGCGACCACCATGAGCGAAGCTTGCGGTTTTAGCCACGGATAGCGGGTATGGCTTCGAGTTCAGCCGCACCACATGTGGAAGGCATGGGCCGCCATATTGGAGGAATGTGTCGTTTGACGACGGGTGGAGGGTCGGAGGCTGGTCGCGGATATGTATGCAGCGAAACAGGGAGCACGATAGTCATAAAAGGCCAGTGGGGACATATCAACGAGCGGGTGTCATATCCGTAGCATCCACTACCCAATGTCCCAAGGCCTCAGACCCTTCGAGTTCCTAAGATGGCGAAACGGAGCGGGGCTACAATGCAGAGGAAAGTCAGAACGCGCAGGTGGGTGAAGTGTCCAAGCACGCACCTTTTGCCAGCCAACCGCCATCCTCTTCCCTCCGCCGCATCCTTCATTATATGCTGTCTAGTTGACGGAGTTTGTGGGTAAGAATGGAGGAGAGAGCCTTGGAAAAACGGTCCGTAAGCGGGAGTGCAAAAGCTAAGAAGAAGATTCACAAACCCCGTCTGACGTGGCTACGGCTGCCCCCTGCCGCTTAATGGTTCTTCAACGGGATAGCGGAGATGGAGCGGGCCCGCGTTTGCGCATGGGTAGAGATTGTGTCCGGCGACATGAATGTAGAGAGTGAGAACGATCGTCACCGTTGTCACTGTAGCCCCAGCCGCTCTTGACACCCATGACCTTTACCCACACGCAACCTCTGGCAGCAATGCACGATATCCAGAAGATCGCTTTTTCGCTTTGGAATGTGAATACCGCCCGAGAGACAGAGACACGCCGTTTGGCTGGACTCTTCGGGTTCCTCAAATCCTGACTCCTGATTCATCGAAAACTGGTGAACGCAACGCGGCGGGATACATTCCAGTCTTCAGCCCCTAGTTTCCATCCGCCCGCAGTTGCTCCTATCGACCGTATATAAAGGCCTGCCCTCAAGCCGGCCCCTCCAACGACCTCCTACTTCACTCCTTCCTTCCACTAATATCGACTCTACGGTCACGGCCGCCAACGCCTCTACGGCTCTGTACTCTTCAGGATGGCCATGAACACCTTCCAGCAAGCACACGCTTCCCCCAGCGCTCCTAGCTCCTCCCCTCAGTGGGAGTCCCCTACCTTCGTGCAAGACGATGACCGTGACTCTGACTTGGGCGACCCCGAACTCGTCTTCCGCGCTCCCAATAGCCGGAAGGTTTGCATGGAACTCGTCCTGGCCGCCGACTATCATGCCCATGCGCGAAGACGCCGCCGCATCGCGACCAGCGATAGTTTTTGTAATACATCATCTACCCAAGCTTAGCGACTATTTTTTACGTTGTTCCGGTGCGTCATCCCTATGCTAGTTCTATTCCCTTCGCTCAATTCATGCTTGGAAAGGATTCGCATGTGCTCCAAGTGAGCGTTTTCGACTTTTGTGTTCTCATCGCACGTCCCGTTGCGGCGTTGCCCCTTGCGATACACTTTTGGATTATGATTCTATGGTATACAATTCGATTAGTATGTTCTTCATGTAGGCATGGTCCAGGTATGAAATATCTCCTGCAGTACGCGGCTTGTGACGCGTGTGACCGGCGGGATTATTTTATTGATGCGGGACACGTAACACCGCCGGCATTCCATTGCCTCCCGGAATTCCGGGAGGCTACGGGCACCTGCAGCTCATCTGTCAGGCACCTGCCTTGGCGTTGCAGCTTAAGCCACAAAGAAAATCTCTTTCAATGAAAGAACGGCCCTTCGGCCCTGGACCTCCGGCTCGGGACACCGGTGTGACGTGAGAATTTGATAGAACCATGGAGATTAGATCATCCAATAAAAGCCTGTTCTGCCGTTCTACAGCCTGAGTTTCCGCCTCTGTCCCATGAGCACCCAGCTTTGCTTCTGTGAAAGCTGCCAGCCTGATGGGCAACTTTTGACCAGACAAACCTATGCAAAGCATACCAAAGCTCAGCAATTAAGGGATTCTCTGGCTGAAGCCCAATCAAGGTCTAGAAATCAAGGCAGGCATACTGGCAGGGCTAAAATAGGCAACATGGAGTCTCAATCAAGTCCTAAAATTGCTAATTCAGCTGTCCCCCTTTGGCCCAAGTACTTGAGACAGTGGAAATTCCACCTGAGGTTTTTGAGAATGGTAAGCAAAATAAAGCAGCTTGTATAAATATTCTGATTAAACAATACTAGCACTTCAACCTATAGGACAGTTATCTATCCTGTTGGTTCTATGGCTCAACCTCTCAATGGGACTTAGCCGTGATGCAGCAAATAAAGTTCTGAACAGCTTAGGCCTGATTTTATTCTTAACTCTAGAAATAATCTGGAGTGTTCTCAAGGCCTCTGGAATAAATTTGCAGATTCCTCATATTCATATTCCTAGGGATATACGAACAGCATATAAATCTTCTTCTGAACCTGAAATTGAAAGAACAATCTGTTGTTTAGAATGCTTTTCTATGTATCCACAGGGAAAGGGACAAATCCCTAGGAAATGCTCATATAGACAATCACCTCAATCAGCCATCTGTGGCACCCCTTTATTCAAGTCTATCAAGACTCTCTCTGGTACTAAAGATATTCCTGCTAGGCAATTCACCTCTCAGTCATTTGATTCCTTTCTATCATTTTTTCTATCTCGTTCTGTTATAGTTACAGCATTACAGCAATCTGCAACAGACAGTGCCAATAGGATGCTTAATGGATATCCTGCTGTTATGAAGGATGTTAAAGATAGCCCACTTTGGAAGAGCTTAGGAAACTATGTTCTTGGACCATACAACCTTGTTTGGTCAATGTACATTGATTGGTTCAATCCTTATACCAATAAGATATCAGGTAAGAGTGCAGTTAATATATATAGCAATTCATATTCATGGTGAATTAGGCAAAGTTAACTCAGTTGGTGCAGTTGTATTGTTCTGCCTCAATTTACCAGTACATCTGCGGTTTGAAACTGAGAACTGCTTTTTCTGGAGCTTGATTCCAGGGAAAAAAGCACCTGATGTTCATCAAATCTGGCATGTTATCCAAGCGCTGATTAATATCATGAAGGAGTTTTGGAATCCTGGCAAGAAAATCAAAACTACCCTAAATGCTGCAGGAGTCTTAGTTCAGTCCTTGATTATCCCTCTTCTTGCAGATCTTGGTGCAATTCGCAAAGTTGCAGGCTATCTGGGGCATAGTGCTGATATGTTTTGTACATATTGCATGATCACTCTAAAAGAGATTGCACGTCTGGATTATGATAACTGGGAATTCCGCAGTAATGAGACTGTTCGAGCAGCAGCAGCAGCTTTCCTAGCAATTAATGCTTTTACTGCCAGAGAAGCTCAAGCCTCAGAGACTGGTGTCAGATGGTCACCTATGTTTGATCTTGCACTTTGGGATCCTGTAAAACATCTTATTCTTGGGTTTATGCATAATTTTCTAGAGGGAGTTGGTGGAACTCATATTCGCTCACTTTGGGGGATAGGCCGCCAAGCAGCCAAAGTAACAGAAGTTTCTGAAACCAGGAAAGCCGAGAAGGTTATGGACTCAGATATTGCTGAAGCTTCTGATGAGCTGATGTCACTACATGAGGAAAGCTCTGAGCATGAATCTCAAAATGAACTTAGTCAATCACAAGTTATCATACCAAGTCTATCACCAATCCCAGGAGCTTGGACCTCTATGGATAGTTCTGCTTCAGAAGATGAATCTTTACAAGCAACTCCCAAGCTCCAAGGTCGTCTCGAAAGGGAAAAAACAAGGCTGGACAATCTAGCTCAGACAGATCTGTGACCCCAACACCAGCCAACCCACTGTTTGCAACTTTTATGGCAGCTGAATTTCCAGATGAAGATTTGGAGGATGGAGACTATCAGGCTATAGACTTTGAAGGTTCATATGAATTCTCCAAGGAAGATTTAGCATTTGTCAGAAAAGGTATCCAAGATATAGAGCTACCTTCTCATGTAGGGCGTCCTCCTGTAAATCTTGGAGAGGCTAGCCATGGTACTTTGAAGGC